TTCTGTGGTATGCCATTAAACATTCCCTGCGACCACCTGGGCCCACTGAGTGGCTCCGCCAGTGGTAAGAGATCTGAGTGTCTGCCACCCCTTTCATCTTAAAGTCAATGCAATTATACTCCCTTTGCCCCATACAGGTGACTTTTTGTTGTTCTGATGTTTTTATGTGTATGTATCTGTGCACATTCAGGCTTTATTTGTAACTTTTGTCATTGCTATGGTCCCCATCCCCCAAATTTCTTGAATCAAAAGAGCATGATCAGTTTTATGACTGTAACCGTCTTTTGTCAGTTTTAAAAGAAAGAACCAGAGTGAGTTTCTCCAGGGGAGTTACACTAAGCACTTGTTGATGAATTACTCTTTTCTGTTGGAAGAAGCTCCCATACAGATTCATCCGATAATGAAGCATCTTCTAAGGGTGGGGAGTTCTCCAGCCTCAACGATGCTATCGTGTGGGCAGCCCCCGTGTGAAGATGACTCAAAGGTCCCCCAGACACTAGAGGTCCACAGAGCGTCGCCTTGTTGGAACTGCATGAAATGGCTGAAGATCCTGCCTAACAAGTCCTGGGTGAGAGGCTGAGACAGGAGGATTGCAAATTTGAGGACAGTCGCAGCAACTGAGTGAGGCTCTAAGCAGCTTAGTCAGACTCTGTCTCAAAAAAATAAATAAATAAAAAGAGCTGAGGATGTAGCTCAGGGGTAAAGTGCCCCTAGGTTAAATCCCTAGTACAAAAAAAAAAAAAAAAAAAAAAAAAAAAAAAAAAAAAAAAAAAAAAACCATACGTGAGTTGCAGACAGAAGGGAAAAGGGTTCATTTCTAGTCATTTAAAACAAATTTCTAGTCATTTTAGACCTTGGCAATTCAGAGAAATGACTCTTGGTTAACTCCTTATATAGACAGATCACTACATTTGTGGGTCTGTTAGCCCTGATTTGTTGTTGATTACTTTATTTGAGTTCAGGCTGAGTGAGCTATAAGAGTGGATATGGGGCCGGAGAGGACTTTATCAGGAGGTGAAATCTGAGGGGGTCTTGAAGAACCACAGGCTTCACTAGGTGCATGGAGAGGCTAGTTTGGAGAGGCTGAGGAGCTTGGGTGTCACCCTATAGGTGGTACAGTGTCTTGGGAGATGATGAAGCTGCAGAAAAGTGGAAGTCAGAATTGGTGTTCCTAAGAAAAATTTGCATGTTTTATTTTTATTTTTTTTAAGAGAGAGAGAGAGAGAGAGAGAGAATTTTTTAATATTTACTTCTTAGTTTTCGGTGGACACAACATCTTTATTTTATTTTTATTTTATTTTTATGTGGTGCTGAGGATGGAACCCAGCCCCAGGCGAGGGCACTACCACTTGAGCCACATTCCCAGCCCAACATGTTTTATTTTTGATTTGGTAAATTGTCAGTTATGTATCACTGGATTTTTATTCCTGCTTAAGTTATTTCAGAATCTCTCCATATGTGCAGAAAATTCCAGAGGACAGGTTGGGTGTTGTGGTTTGGATGTGGCTTGAATGTGTCCCCCAGACGTTCATGTGGTCCTTAGTGTGGTAGTATAGAGACGTTGTGGACCTTTTAAGAGGTGGGGCCTAATGGGAGGTCCCTAGGTCATTGGGGGTGTGTCCTCCAAAGAGAACAAGTGATTCTCAGCACTTGAGCTCAAGAGTCCTGACCCCTGAAATGCTTCTGGGCTTCTCTACCGAGATCTCTTCCTCCTTCCTACATGAGCACTCACCATGAAGTCCTCTCCAGGGCTGACCAGAGCCTGCACCTAGCAGTTTGGGCTTTCAGCCTCCAAAGCTGTTAGCTAAATAATCCTCTTTTCTTATAAAGTTAGCATGCCTTAAATATTCTGTTAATAGTCATAAAAATCTGACAAATACAATCAGCCCTTGTACAGTAAACATAGAGAATAATAACAGAGAACATTTTGACTTTACAAAGTCTCGAGCCACCAGGACCTGTCACTCCTAAAACACATCTCCCACAGTCCTCATCCTCCCCTTGGTGCAGAGCATCGTGCATGACCAGGGCTGATCCCAGGACCTGGTTTCTGTGGAGCCATGCTGCAGTCTCCAGGGTGGCCTGGCTGAGGGGATATAAACCCATGAGCATGGTCTGGTTGACAGAGTAGACAGCCCTTAGTAAAGCAGAGAGAAAGGCTTGATCATACCCAGGTACCAAGGGGGTGATTCTCAGTGGACCAGGAGAGGGAGGTGGACATATTGGCCTATATAGGGGAACGTCCCAGTAAAGTCTACAAACTGTGCACCTCTCAGACACCTAGGTGACTGGGAGGGCGGCAGAATGAGAGCAGCCAAGGATGAGGGAGCAGTAAGAATTCCTGCTTACTCCATTTGGGGTGGGTGGCCAGACCCTCTGCAACTGAATGACACGGATCCCCACTGGCTCCACATCTTCTGATGGAGATTACTCCCACCCCGGCTGGCCTGGCTTTGGGAAGTTGGCAGAAAAGTCAGCAGGACACTTTCTATATGAGGTTGAAGGCTGGCTGGCAGGCAGGACTTCGTGGGTGCCAGTGAGGCCTAGGAAGCCCTTGGCAGGTGTCTGGCAAGTGTGTAGCAGCTGCTCCCTGCCCCCGCACGGCAGGACAGTGAGGCATTGTGCCCAGGGCTGGGTAGTTCTGGGCTGGCCTCTCTTTCCACCCTGCCCACATAGAAGAGTGTCTGTGCTTTGGCTACTGAATCAGGGGTGGAGAGTGATATAACGGGGATGTTTAATGGGACCTGTAACTTTTCTGTGGCTACTTTTGGAACACTTAGTCCCAATAAGTCACCTTCCACCAGCCTGCACTTCAGGGGAGGCAAGCTGTGACTCTGGGAAATTCACTTGCCATTGTCTGTCTGGGGTCCGTCTTGGTCCAGTGTTCTGGAATTTTCTCCCTGGAGGGCTTGCTTTGGAAGTCCCCACCTTGTGGGGCTACTCGGGTGTGAGGTAGCTTGGGCCTGGCTTTCACAGGAGCAAAGCCAAAGAGACCAGGTGGGTGGCCTGCTGAGAAAGCACGCGGGCCATCCATCAAAGGTCAGCAGAGAGGCCCAGGGTTTGGGATGGGGGACGAACTGTTAACATGGGGTTGAAAAGCAAACACATGCATGTTCAGCCCGCAATGCCAGTGCACTGCCAGAGCCCGGGCTGGACATTCCCCTGGCGGGCAGGGAAGGCACTGGTCTGCGGAGCGAGGAGCGGCCTCCACTTCCCAGCGAGGACGGCTGGAGGGCCGGGAGCTCCCCTGTCCTCTGCAGGGTCCTCTGTCCCAGAAAGGGGGCTTCCTCTCCAGCGGCACCTGTTTGGGTTTGGAGGGAGAGACAGGCCTCTGCTTCCAGAATCGTCCTCGGCCCGC